TTCCATAAAGCATGTTCCTGCAATTAAAAGGATTAAAACATTTGCACTGATTTCAGAGTACTGTTAATCACTTTTTATGAAACAACTTAAAAAGAAAATGTTTCTTGCAATTAGGGTAAATCAAATAGCAGAAAAGCATATTTGGCAAATATATTCTTTGACACCCACTGGTATTTTTGAATAATATATACACAAATTAATACTTGAAACATTAAAGAACTGTTTAAATATAACAAACAAACATTTGTAAAATAAATAATTTGCTGAATGTTTACCCACCATAATGTGTAGAGCAACAAGGAGTGAAGAATGCTAATAAACATAAAGGATATTGGTATGCAGAATACCATACACTTGCTTCTGATTTTCTGAAACATAGGAAATACCATAGTTTACCATTCTACCTGTTTCCAGGCTTCACTCCCCATATCAAGACCCTCTCCTGTCTTCCTTATATTCTTTCAGCTGGCATTAAGTTCTATTGTTTATTGCTTTTCTTTGTGCTCCTTTTCACGGGTCTCTTTCTCAAGGCCCTTTGTGTCTCTTAGCTTTATTCTTCTTTCTGCGATGCCTTTCCACTTACTTCGTATTTATTTCTGTCTCTACCTTGCTGTTCCTCTACCTGTGCTTTATACACTCAATGGGATATATTTCTTCCAACCCTGATTCTTGCTGCTGTAATTACATTTCTGTGTCACTAACTTTGGGGAGGCATGCGCTGGCATTCCTGGGCATGCTACTATGAGCTTTCTGGCCTACATCATTTTTGATGGATGGCACTCCTGAAAACTTGAAGGTGTGGAAATAGAGTCTATATCTCCCTCAAGATGTGTCCATGAAATGAAAAAGAGTACAATTTGGAAGAGGCAGTGCCAGTCTTCTGAAGGAGATTCCACTTCTGTCTTTTTAAATCATTCCTAGAAACCGGTGATGAGTGACTGCTTCATTGCAAGGACTCTCAGCTGTGGATGTAGTCCTGGCAAGGTTTACTCCTATCATGTTCTGTTCGGAAGTGGAGGAGAGTGTGAGATGATACCTGTAGTAATGTCAATATATTAATGATATGCAGCTCCTTGTCATCTGACCCAGACATTACTATCCTCATTGTCACCTAGCAGGGTAGAAAGTGAGACAGAAACCAGCAGGTAACAATGGATTATTAAAGCATTCTTTTGGCCTAGAACAGTGCTTCCCAAACTTCCTCAGCATGACCCCATTTCCTTAGCATGGCCCCACAGTTTGGGAACAGCTGCCCTAGAGACCTACCTATTTGACATACAAAGCTATAAATAATAAGAAGCCATTACTAGACTGTGATTCATTTAAATGAGATGAGCTGGTGGTGTTGAATAGCATATACAGACAGTGTATGTTTTTGCAGGAAGAATGAGGTAGATGACTGACATAAGTCTTTGTGGTTTTGCGCGTTCTTTGAAAACTAACGGAAAAATGAGACTGGATCTCTCCATTAATCGGAAAATATAAATGATGGATTCATGAGGAAAAAATAATTTGACTCCTTTTTTAATAAAATAGAGCCTGTCTTATACTGTCCTGGGTGAATTTGCATTACTTGTGCAAAGAATAAGGGCCACGCTAAAATAAAATTCCCGTTTGTGTTCTTTCATTTTACTATTGCAATATTGTTTTATTTGATCTATTTCTTGCATCCTCATATATTATGTTTCTTTTTATTTTGGTTAAATTGGTAGCATGTATATCCCTAGTGTATATTTTTACTGATCACTATACATTATATAGTATTGTTATACATAATTTCATTGTCAGTCTCACTGTATCATTTTAGTGAAAGCTGTAAATATGCTATTACTTCTTTGCAGTGTATACTGAAAAAGAAGGAAATGATGCTGATCAACAGGTTGAAGGCCTGGTAAAATAAAATCATTCTTTCAGTTGAGCATGTTTTGCCTACTATCATCAAATACTCTTTTAAGTATTCATCCTTACTCTTATTATCCTATGTTATCTGAGGCAACACTTACCTGAGGATTACAAATACCTGAGGATACCTGAGTAGTATCATTTCATATCAGTCTAACAAGAGAGGGTGCTGCTTTTTCCCCCCTGCGTAGTAAGGTATTGAATTTGCCTCAATAATCCATATTTTAATAACTTTTTATTTGTACCATCATGGTAAACACTACCATGTTGGCACTATTTTCTGAAAGCACCTCAGGGAATTTGGCTAATGCAGACTGCAGTTGCCCACTTTATAAATTAGGTGAGCAATAAAGAAAACACCACCCCTGAACTCTACTTTCTGCATTGATTCCCTATTGACTGCCTTGTGAAGTTAAACATACCGGTGCCTGTAGACAGAGT